TCTTGTGGCGTTGTTGCAAATTATCCGGAAGTGTTAACATGTTTTTGAAGCATCCTGTATTTAATAGGTGACGTGTTGGGCAGTGGCCCCCTTCTTAAAGTCGCATAGAGAGGGGGGCCGGAGAAGTCGAATTCACTCGACCTCTCTGGCCTCTTCCGCGCGCTGCGTTGAAGGGCTGTTGCCCAAAACGTCGCCTATTGTACACTTTTTTTACGTTTGAGACGGCGGATGGCATTCCACCTCGTCGGAGGCAACCGGTGTCACCATCAGCCGCACGGGAACGTCAAACAGCAGGCCGATGCTGCGCCGCATCTCGTTCAGAACGTGGAGGATTTAACGACGCAAGCCACAGTCGTGCAATTGTGGCCTTGCAACCCGAACTATGGGACCATATAGCAAACTCGTAGAGATACATAGGGACTCATAGAGATACACAGTGACCTGTATAGATACTTAGAGACTCATAGAGATACGTAGCATTACGTAGCGACTCATAGAGACGACTATAGACGCACGAAGATACATTAAAGACAAGCCACATTAGTGCGACTGCAGCTATGCAAACCAAACAACCTATGGGCCGCACGGTAACTCAACTGCGGTCTGCGCTCCTTGAACAGAGGAGGAGGAACAGCGAAACGACACGAACTGTAACTGCTGAAATAAGAACAAGCTTGGCGCTTGATGTCAGTAAAACAGCAGGTGTCAAGATGTTCAAACACCCAATAGACACCTTTTGCAGGGAATCAAGTTTGAATTAACCACACACTGTACTTGAAAAAACTAACATGCTCTGATAATGCATTCATTGTCTTTGAAACTGTTTGGCCTACACCAGACACAGGCGTGTCTATGCCCTCGTCTCACCAGTGTCAGACCAGAGAATGCAAAAAGGTCAACAGGACAGAGGCAATGGAAGTGTCGAAGCATTCAAAACTCGGGTTGGGCAGTTATAGTCTATGGGACCTGTTTGCCAGTGTCAACAAATGTCCCGCAGACGTAACTGCTGAAGCCCTCTCGTCGTGGCGAGCAACGCGGTGGCTCGGAGATGTTACCTCCCTCGCCTGGTGCGAAGCAGCTCGTGGGTCCGATCCCGACCCTGACGCCTGCTGCTGTATATTTTGACTTTGCGTGTCTCTCTCCCCGTGGTCGCGTGGATTTTTCTCCAGGTCCTCCGGTTTTTGCAATCGACGTCACGTGTTCAGAGTTTTTGGCTGCTCGAAATGTCCACGTGATGATAAGCCACTAATTCGTCGAGCTATCATTTGTGACCAGGTGGCTTCTGAAAAAAAGAGCTCTTTGGCTCAATGGGCCTTACTTGGTTAAAATAAGAAAATATATATAGTGTAAACAATAAAGTAGTTTATAGCAGATCTCTACATTGCATAAATGTTGAACTTCTTTCGCACCATACGTAGCCAACTGTTCTCATCGGAACATTGACGCTTAGCCCCTGCACTTCCTGCCCCCGCCGCCGCCGCCACCACCACCGCCGTCACAACCACCACCACCACCACTGCCGCCACCACAACCATCACCACCGCCACCGCCGCCACCACCACTACCGCCACCACCACCACCACCGCCGCCACCGCCACCACCTTCACTGCCGCCACCACCTTCACTGCCGCCACCACCATCGCCACCGCCACCCACCACCACCGCCGTCACCACCACCACCGTCGTAACTACCACCGTCGTGCGCTTGGAGGCGACGTTGTTGACGACATTTGTCGAGCTGCTGTTTTTGTCGCCGCGTGCGTGCCACTCGCGCCTGTCCTAACGTCCGTGCTTTGCCCACGCGATGTCGTTCGGCGGTCACGACGAGGCTGGCCGCGAAAAAACCCCCACAAAAGTCCACCGCGTGGGCTTCCCGGCGAGCGAGCGAGCGAGCGGATCTCCTCCACCTTGCCCCATGCCCTTGGGGGGGGACGTCGCGTCCGATTACCATCAATCCACCGCTAATGGGGACGTCTGCCCTTTCTTCAGCGTTTGATTTAATCGCCGGTAATGATGTTCGTACCGTGATGGGTGAGTTTAATGGACGGTTTATTGCTTGAGTGCGGTCGGTATAATAATAATTAGTGATAATATTCGCGATGATTCCGGCCCGCGTTCCCACCACCGCCGCCGGGAAGCGTGCCAGTGGGGCCCGGCCTTCTCACGGGGAGCCCCAGCGATGGAAGCGCCAATGGCAAAGACAAAGATCCCCCGTATAGCCTCAACAGACTGTTGGGGCAACTGCTGCTCGCGAGCACCTAAGAAAGCCGGCATGGTGGTGGGGGCGGGGGGGGTCAATGTTGTGGCCAGCACCACACCCGGCCGCCTTTGTCTCCCGAGTGGCAATGTTTGTTTGACATGTAGCACCAGGGGGGGAGGCCCGGGACCAGATTTGAGACAATCGCCACTGGCGTTGGGCCGCGAGCGGCAGCCGAGCTCGGCGATCGCCGGGTTCGTAGCGCCGCTCCGCCGCACCACCACACCGCCGCACCACCACAGCGCCGCACCACCACAGCGCCGCACCACCACAGCGCCGCACCGCCACAGCGCCGCACCGCCACAGCGCCGCACCACCACAGCGCCGCACCACCACAGCGCCGCACCGCCACAGCGCCGCACCGCCACAGCACCGCAGCGCCGCCACGGCGATGGAAACCCCGCGGTCGTCGTGGGGGAGCCGCGTGGGTTCACCCTGCGAGCTGCTGGGGGGTGTAGGGTGTAGGGGGGATTGAACCAGCAACGATCAACTCGGCGGTCGTGGACGTCCTTGGGCCGCCCAGCTCGCTTAGTCGGCACCAGGGGTCGTGTTCCAATCCGTGGCGTGGGCATCGCGTGGCTCTGCTGGGGTCCCGCTGGCTGGGGAGTGCCCCAAGCGCCGGCACACGAAGAGGAAGGGGTCGATGTGGGGTGGGGGGGCACTGGCGAGGGGGGGGGGAGCGAATTAACCCCTTGCACCAGGGTCCGTGCCGACCCCGCGCGCTACGCGACAGTGGGAGACACGGCACGGGAGCTCTCTGCTGACTGTCACCAGCTCTCTCGGTCTCTCTCTCTGTCTATGTCTCTCTATCTATGTCTCTCTGTCTAGGTCTCTCTGGCTAGGTCAATCTATATTGGCGACGTTTCAGGTGATAGCCCTTCTTCATTGCAGGCTCTGTGTATCTCCCTCTGTGTGAGTGTCTCTCTCCTCTCTCTGTCTCTCCCTCTCTATGTATGTTGAACTTCTTTCGCACTGTACGTAGCCAACCTCTCTCTCTGTCTCTCTGCTCCCCCCCTATCTTCCTTTCGCCCTCCTCTCTCCCTCCCTTTCACTGTCCCTCTCTCTTCCTCTCTCTCTTTTTACGATCAGAGGAAACAAGAAGATGCTCGGTGTAGTCGGCACTTTGCTTCGTTCATCATTTTTTTTTTCAATGCTTTGCTTTATGTACGAAATATTTCATGCTCTGCTCCTTCTTCTTACCCCTTCCCTCTCTCTCTCTCTACCCCCTCTCTCTACCCCCCTCTCTTTCGTGTTGTGCGCGGTGCAATTAGCGCACACAGTGCGTGGATTTATAGCGTTTATTTTCATTTGTTTGCTGGTGACTTTGTGTATTTCATATCGAAATCGCCTCCAGTACTGTTGCTGCTGGCGGCAATAAAAGTTGTTTAAAAGTCAAAGTCTCTCCCCCCCCCCCCTCTCTCTAGGTCTCTCCCCCTCTTGTGAAACCCTGCGAGAGGCTCGCGGGGGTGGCCCTGGGTTTCGTAAGAGTCGGACTCGCGCGAGCGGCGCGCAATTAATTAAAGCGCTCGCTGGAGGCGACCTCTGATCCGCCGTGGGGGGGCAGCTGGGGGTGGGGGGTCGAGTGGGGGCAGCACGCCCAGGGGGCTGTTTCAGTCACCACCAAAGACAAAGATCCCTCGTATAGCCTTCTTCTGTTGGGGCAAGTGCTGTGCCATGGCCGCCTTTGTGTCCCCAGTGGCCATATTTTACACATCTCACCGGGCACTCATTTGAGGCTGAGTCGACCTAGGAGAGGCCCAGGATAGGCGCAAATAATCGTCACCGGTTTTGGTGGCCGTGAGCGGGAATCGAACTCGGGTCGCCGACTTCGTAGTGGGGTGCACTCACCGCTGCGCCACCGCTCCCTCCCACCGCCACCCACGACGTATGCGCCAAATGGCACAACCACCGCCACGAGCCACAACACCATCACTTCCGCCGCCACCAGCACCACGGGCCCACGCAGACCAATGACGCAACACACAACACCAACCACCGTGGTTGGTGTTGTGTGTTGCGTGTGGTTAGAGGCATTGCCGTTTGATTGACCAGCGTCAAATCTTGATTTAAAGCTTTCGTGACTGCATGAATTCATATTCTTTGGGTCTTTCTGTAAAATCACGTAGATAGGTTCAAATAAAATAACAAAAAGCTATGACGTTTCGATCGCAACACAAGCGGTCGTCACCAGGAAAAGGGGGTTAGCTTCTAAAGGCAAACTGCTTATAAAGGTTTTAAATGGGCGTAGCCCAAATGTCAGCAGCCAATGTTACATTTGGGCTCCGCCCATTTTAAACCTTTATCAACAGTTTGCCTTTAGAAGCTAACCCCCTTTCCTGATGACGACCGCTCAAAACGTCGCAGTTTTTTTTTCTTTGAACCTATCTATGTGACTTTACCGAAAGACCCAAATAATTTTACCAGCGTCGTTAGTGTCAGGGGTAGGATTCGGTTGAATAATGTGGCTACGGGGTAGAGCTCGGTTCTGGTTGACTAGCGTGGTTGGGGTTGGGTGTGGGTTACTGGTGTGGCTGGGTTAGAGCAACTTATACTGGATGAATCTGATGAGCTGTAAAGCTCTTTCTCAAAGATGTCCAGGCTTAGCACAGCGTCCGATCGCCTCGCGCTGTTGTTATGTGAGTTGCTGAGCGTGATGGGCGTGCTGTTGTTGTTGTTGCTGTTGTTGTTTGTGTGTTGTTGTTGCTGTTGTTGATCTGTCTCTGCATCTTTCTCCGCTCACCAGTTGTCGCGCTTCCGCGAGCTCAGCTTCTCCGGGGAGAACGAAAGGAGCCGACCCATGGTGGACAACTTCCGACCGCCGCAGCCACTGTGTGGCCGAGTCGTCACTGCCTACCCGTGATGACCTCGACCCTTGACTCTTGACCGCCACCTTTGACCTCTGACCGGACTTACCAGACTCCATTCCTCGTGACCCACCGCTACTGCCTCGTAGGTCAGTATCAAACTCCAGAAGCAGTCCCTCAGTTCACGTTTTTTTAATCCATTCCACGAAAACTACTGTTAACCCAAATAACCGTTCATTTAAGAGAGAGCCGGTCTCCACTGCCAGAACAGAGAACGTAATCATGTTAACAAAGCCAGTCGAGATCCGAACGCCTATTAATGGGCGTCCCTGATTGGCTGAGGGCATGGCTCAGCCCTGCTTACGAGTGCTCGGATTGGCCGAAATTGGCGCCCCGCGTGTATAACGTAAACGTGCCGTTCGCCAAAATGTTAACGTTCAGTCGAAACCGTGGGGGTCCTATGGGAGGCGAAACGCTAACCTAAAATCGTTAACCGATGTCACTGTTTACTGAGGGACTACCGTACAACCCATTATCTAACGGAGAGAGGGGGGGGGTCCCTTTCCTACACACATTTCCATCAGCATTGGTGGAAGCGAGCCTGACTGCTGGTGCCACATGCTGAATCTCACAAACCAGCCCAGAGTTTTCCTTGCATGAAACCAATGCCGATGGAATAATAATAATAATATAAATGATATGCACTCCCAGAAGGCTGCCGTGTGGCCAATGGGATGCGTAAAAAAAAATTACACTTTTTATTTGTTCATGTGGAAATGGGTAGGAGGCGAATTTGTCCACTTTATTATTTTTGTTGAGCAATCATCTGGCACGTGTAAGTAGCGTGTATGCGAGGAGTGGGGTGGACGGGGGACACTCGGTTAACACGGAGAGGGCCGACCGTGGTGGGCGGCGAGGACCGGAGTTCTGGACCAACGGCGACGCGACGCTGACCACGCAGCTTTTGCACTAAACGCAATGAAGGCGCCCCTGTGACGTGCGCGTCTCTTGAAGAGCAATATTCGTACGACTGATAAAAATTGTTAATGAATCACTACTGGGCGAAGTCTACACGTGATCACGTTATCAACTTATTATTAAGTTCAAATGCAAAACGAATTGACGTCATAGGCGATATTCGTTATTATTGTGACGCGCTGCTGCGACGTGTAGTTGTGACGCGTTGTCACGACGCCTCGCCGTGACGTGTCGTTGTTGACGCGTCGCCGTGACGCGTCACCGTGATGCTTCGTTGTGATGCGTTTGTATCGACTGCAATGAAATGCAAGGGGGGATGATCGTGAATCGAGGGAACATGCAAGGACGCGGTTCCCTTCTGTTGTTCCACTCGCACCCCCCCCCCACCCCCCCCAAAATATCCACATTCAGTCCTAACGGAATCGCTCACTCGCTATGAGATTATAGGAAAACTTCGGACCATACTTTTAGATAACGGGGAGAGGGATTTGAGTTAATGACGTCGGTCTCAACGACGCCGACGTCCGGAAAGAACACTCCCCCCCCCATTCGAGACACAAACATCACCGCACCTCCCGGGTTCGAGATTCCTCCTCCTCGAAGCAACTGCTGGAACCGGACACTAAAAAGGCGCAAGCCGCGGGAGTGTGATCGTGGCCGTGCAATCCTCACGTCTGAGCCCGCGGGGTTCAACAAACCACTGCGGCTGCTGCGCTCCCGCAGCGGATGAGGAGGAGGAACACCCAAACGACACGAACTCCATGCTGACGCCCTCTTGTCGTGGCCAGCAGCAAGACCTCGACATTTGCCATCTTGTAACTCGTGAACATCTTGCTGCTGCTGCTGCTGACATTGTGCGCAAGAGTCGACGATTACAGGAGGGGTGAGGTGGAGGGGGGTTGGATGTGGGAGGCGAGCGATGTTTGGGTGTGATTTGTTTTTTTACAAAGGAGGTGTATCGCGACCAAATGAGCCCGGGGCGTGGGCCGATCTCGTCGGATCAGGGAACGCAAACAGGGTTTGACCCCTCAGCAGGGCAACGCGTCACTTTGTCAGGGTGGCCCCAACCCCGTGCCTGTCACGAACGGGGTGCCGCGGGAGGGCCGCGGGAGGGCCGTGGGCTGTGCGGGCAGCACTGGGGGGCAGTGCCCACGAGCCGCACCCACAGCTCGATGAATGAACCCCCCACGACCCGCACGGTTGTGCGGAGAGGACCCCTTATCCGGCAGGGGATTGGCGGCAAGGGCTGTGCGTGTATCCAAGTGCACGAGGGGTATTACTGGAATGCGATAGCTGAGTGCTTGCTGCTGCTGCTGTTGACGACACTGATGCTTGCGGTGCTGCTGTTCGTGTTGGTGGTAGTGGTGGTGATGGTGGAGAGCGGTGGCGCAGCGGTTAGCTCGCTGCGCTACGAGCCCGGCGACCCGAGTTCGATTCCCGCTCACGGTCCAACACCGGTGACGAATATCTGAACCGGTCCTGGGCCTCCTCTAGGTGGATTCGGCCTCAAATGAGTACCTGGTGCACTGTGTACGCATCACCACCGAGGAGACAAAGGTGGTCGGGCGTGGTGCTGCTCAGGCCTTCATAAGTGATCGCTGACAGCACTTCCCCCAACTTTGTCTTGTGGCTACACAGGGTATCTTTGTCTTTGCTAATGATGTTGCTGATGATCATTATGTCTGTTAATGTCGCTTCCGCTTGTATAACTGCCAATGCTAATATTGATGTTGCTGCTGATGCTGATGTTGGTGGTGCTACTGCTTCCGGTGACATTTGGAATTATCTGATAGATTCATAGTTTACCAAAGCTAGAGGCGTCTCGTGTTGCTACGGTCATGGCCGAATTTGCCCGGTGTCACGGGGACGCGCGGCCGTGCCGAGGGTCGAATGCAGTCTCCCCGCTCCGAGAAACTGAGATCAAGAGAGACGGAGGAGCGGTGGCGCAGCGGTTAGCGTACTTGTGCTATGAAACACGGCGACCCGTTCACCGACCTTAGATTGGATTCACGGTCACACGGCTACTGTCAGTGGCGAGTGGCATCTGAACTGGTCATCGAACAACCCCCACCCCACCTCCCTCCCATCCAGAATCAGAATCTGTATTCATACTGGAGGAATCCGATGAGCTATAAAGCTCTTGTTCATAGATGTCCAGTAGGGGCACGTCAGAACGTTACAACAACGAACAAAACAACAAACACGGCGGGAGTGCAAAGTGTAGGGCAGGTAAGCAAATCACTAAAAATAATCAACAAATAAAACTCAGCGATATCTTTTTAGCTTACCAGGCAAAGCCCACTGAACTATTAGCTTTTTTTCAGAAACGACCTGGCCACAAATGATAGCTCAACGAAGTGGCTTATCACGTGTGGAAATGTATAGCAGCCAAATAATCTAAACGAATGTTTCTAAATGTGGAGGGAAACCCCGGAGAACCTGGAGAAAAATCCACGCGATCACGGGGAGAGAGACACGCAGACTCCAAATATGCAGGTGTAGGGATGTTAGAGAGAGGGCCGTTATGTATGGCAGTCTATGGGAAAGAAACACAGTGGGCGGGGCTACGTGTGTGCACAGGGAGGTGCCCTCTGCGACGTCTGAGCCAGACACCCTGGGGGGGGCTGGTTTGGCGTTATGATCCCCCGGGGCCCCACCCCTCAGGGAGGGTTGGGTATAAAAGGGGACGTTATATGGGCTCGGGAGTTAGTTATGTTATAGTTAACTAAGAAGACGGAAGACATCTTAGATAGAGCCCTGGACTCCCTCGTTCGATGTCCTTGTCAGGGCCGAACAGGATCGAGCCAGCGGCGTGGTCCCGAAAGCCAGAGCCGGTGCTCTTCTAAGAGCTGGTCTGGGACTCCGGGTACCGGCCCGACTTACCAGTGTCGGGCCAAGTAGCCTCCCCTAGCCCAGTAGTGGAGGACTGTGAGGTAGGCTAGGACTTAGCCAGGAAGTGTATCCTTGAGCTAGTCGGGTGAGGGGGCCGATACCCCCTCCAGTACTGTATGTCACATACGAGTTGTGTTGAATAAATATCCGTGTGCCTCCACCTCGGCGTCAAGTGTCTTCACCGGTACTTCAACTGGTGTCAGAAGTAAAACTCGAACATGGACACGCGGAAGACAACGCGGGCCATAGTACCGCAAGAAGAAGATACGGCCGAGATCGAAACGCCCGGGACGGCTACACAAGCCACAGTGCAGCCGGAGCCTGATGTCTCCTCACCGGGGCATCCGAGTGAAGGAGGATCACAGTCAGACGCGTTGCGGCTGGCTCACGGGAGGCTGGCGGAGCTGTTATACGCCGCTGCCGCCACGCTGGAGTCCATCACGCGGCTGGGGGCCGGTGATTCAGCACGGGGCGAGACGGCCCAACGACCAGGGCACCTTCCCGCCATTTCGGAGCAGCCCGAGTTTGAATCTCCCGCCATCGACGCTGCAGCTGTTCGGGGCGTGGCCAGCCTAAACATCCACTCCGGCATCGCCGTCGCTGAAGCCACGACGTCATCACCACCGCGACAGGCGATTCCATCGGCCGCTCGTACCAACGCACAGCCAAGTGGAGGTGACATCCGCCCGCGGGAATCAACAACGACCGCTGCACTCCATCAGAGGCTGCCCCCGCTGAAAGAGTTCGTCGGCGCGGAGGGGGACTGGGCCGGGTTCCGCAGGCGATTCCTCGCCCATCAAGAGATGGCGAAGTGGACAGACGAGGAGGCTCTCTGCGCGCTGCCGGCGCTCCTCGACAGCGACGCGCTCGCAGCCCTCACATCGGCACCTAAAGAGAGGCGGGCGACGTTACCGATGGCGCTGCAGCTGCTGGGAGGGGTCTACGGACCATCGGCGGAATGCAGACAGGAGTTCTACGACCGCAAGCGGGGTGAAAAGGAGTCGCCCCTGGCGTACCGAACGAGCCTCCTGGCGATGGCCAAGTCGGCCTTCCCCTGTATGGATGACGACGGCATCGACGCTATGGTGACGGAGAAAATACTCCTCCTGGCTGACGACCTTGACATCGCTGTCGTCGCACAGGAGGACGCGGAAATGACATCGCTCCAGGCGGCGCGGCTCCTCCACGCAAACCTCCTGTCGCTCCGGCGGAAAGCCAGCAGGGCATCGGCGGGGCGTGCGGTGGCTGCAGCCACCCTTCCGACGGAGGAACTCTACGCCGTCGACCACCGATGGCAACAGGCGACGAGTGCACGGCCGGGCCAGGACGGGTCGGGCCGTTCCGACCATTCGTCACCTCCGACGCCGCTCCCACGGTGTTTTAACTGCGGCGTCCGGGGCCACGTCGCCTCGGGGTGCCGCTCTCCTCGTCAGCGCGGGACGACACCTCACCGGGACGACGGGCCTCATCCCAAGCTCCACCATCAAAAACCGGCGAGTCGCGGCACCCCACACGTTTGGCCCACACACACACCCGTCACGCACTCAAACACCGCGACGAGAGGGGGGCCGGTATCACGTACCATCGCACCATCACGCACCACTCCGGGTACCCATATCGAACCCGGCCAGTGGTCCGTGCTGGCCGATCGTGTGGTTGCCGCATCGTCGGGGTCGTCGGCCGTTGTGGGGTATATCGACGGGGTTGAAGTGCGCATCCTGGTCGATACGGGAGCATCGGCGACTATTATTTCGGAATTAATTTATAATATTCTCCCTGTCCGGAGTCGTCCCTTGATGCCAGTTAACATACCATTCTATGCGGCTAACGGGGGCTCACTTGGCATCATCGGACAAATTCGTGCCCAAATTTGTATCGGGGAAATAAAATTATCTGGGCCGATTTTTGTTTCTTCCTCGCTGGCGGTTCCGTGCCTGCTGGGGACAGACTTCCTGGCCAAAATGCCGATTGTAATTTTGATCGACCAGGGTTGCATAGAGCTTCCGTCGGGCAGACGCATGGCGTTTCTGCCATCACCGGTTGCGACGCGGACGGCGTTCGCGACGGTGCCGGCGTTCGTGGAGAGAACGGTACGCGTCCCTCCGGGGACGCAAATGTTGGTACCCTTGAAACTTCGGCGGCCCCTCGTTACGGGTGCTGGGGCACAAGGGGTACTGTTGGGACCGTCTAGGGCCGGGGTTAGTGGACCTGACTTACTTCCGGCCCAGACCAGTGAGAGGGAATGGTGAACCCTTCATCGCGGTCCTAAATGTGGGCTCGCGGACGGTGGTGGTCCCACAGGGGACCGTGCTTGCTCACGCAACGCCGGTGCCGTGTGTGGAACCCGCCGTAAATAGCGTCAACACTGTCCCTGCGTCGCAACCGCATTCGGACAGCGATGAAGGGTGGCTCGAGGCGCTTTGTGCGGGATCGACGGACCTGTCCGATTCAGAGCGTCAACAACTTAAAACACTACTGCGAGAATTTTCCGACGTTTTTAGTCGAAATAAATATGATTTGGGTTGCACTCACTTGCTGCGTCACCATATTGACACGGGTGACAGCGCGCCAATTCGCCAAAATCCGTTTCGGTTGAGTCCCGCCGAAAAGGACCATGTCAAATCGGCTGTTGATGACATGTTGGCCGCAGACATTATTTCTCCTTCCACCAGCCCTTGGGGAGCGCCGATCGTCTTGGTTAAAAAGCAGGACGGTTCGTTGCGGTTTTGCGTTGACTTCCGGCGTCTTAATAAAATTTCGGTTGCCGACGCATACCCGCTCCCTCGGATGGATGAATCGCTTGACGCCTTGGCGGGAGCGCGATTCTTTTCCACACTCGATTTACTTTCGGGATTCTGGCAGCTTCCTCTGGATGATGAGTCAAAGCCTAAAACTGCTTTTCGTACACCGCACGGCTTGTTTCAATTCAACCGGTTGCCGATGGGCTTACACTCAGCGCCGGCAACTTTCCAGCGTTTAATGGAATTGGTTTTGGCTGGACTGCAATGGGAGTCGTGCCTCATTTATTTGGATGACGTTATCGTCTTTGGTAAAACTTTTGATGAACATCTCCAGAGGTTGCGGGCGGTTTTCCTAAAGATGCGGGCTGCTAATTTGAAATTCAAGCCCCAAAAATGCCATTTGTTGCGTGATTCGGTGCGTTATTTGGGGCACATCGTGGGACGCTCAGGTATTGCTACCGATCCCGCCAAAACGCAGTGTGTCAGCTCCTGGCCGACTCCCACCTCGGTGGGAGAGGTCAGGAGTTTCATTGGGTTCGCGTCGTATTATCGACGGTTTGTTGCTGATTTTGCAACAATTGCTAAACCCCTGCACGCTTTAACATCTAAAGGGGTTCGGTTCCACTGGGGCCAAGAGGAGGAGGCTGCGTTCCGCTCCCTTCGGGACGCCCTGGTGAAAGCCCCTCCCTTGATTTACCCTGATTTTTCGAAGCCCTTTTTGCTCGACACCGATGCGAGCAACACGGGTATTGGGGGTGTGCTTTCCCAGGTGGTTGATGGCGTTGAACGGGTGGTCGCGTACGGTAGTCGGGTGTTGTCTCCTGCGGAGCAGAGATATTGTGTCACCCGTAGAGAACTGTTGGCAATTGTTTTTTTCATCCAACAATATCGCCCATATCTGTACGGTCGGCATTTCACCGTCCGCACAGATCATGCGGCACTACAGTATGCCCTGCGAGTTCAACAACCATCGGGACAGTTGTCTCGATGGTTGGAGGTTCTCCAGGATTTTGATTTTGAGACCACTTACCGTAAGGGCGTTCGCCATACCAACGCGGACGCTCTGTCACGCATGCCAACCACCTCGGAATGTGCATGCCTCCTGGGGTCGGGACGTTGCAGACCTTCAGGGGACGCATCGGTTCCGATCCTGGCAGCCACCGACGACGACGAACCACTGCCTGATAATTCGATTGAACAACAGGGAAGGGATTCCCTGTTGGGGTTGCCCGTCACTGAGTGGGGGCGCCTCCAAATGGAGGATACCTCCCTCCTCGGGTGGCGTCGTCGCGTCGGGGGTGCTGGGCGGGTGAAAGGTGATTCGGGTGCTTGGGAAATGGTACAGGGTCTGCTCATGCATTGGGACGGCAAATCACAGCGACATCGGCTGGTCGTCCCTTCTGAGTTGCGAGGCAAAGTGGTGTGGGCCGCGCATGAGCGCCTGTTACATCTGGGGACTCTAAAGACCCTTGCACTGATACAACTAGATTTTTTTTGGCCTGGTATGACAAAGGATGTTGGGGATCTTTTGAGTTCATGCCCGCGGTGTGCGCAACGGAAACCGCCGGCACGGGAGTCTAACCCGCCTTTGCAATCAATCAAGGTGTCCAGAATAAATGAGCTTGTCGCGCTGGACATCTTGGGCCCATTTCCCGCCACCCCCAGGGGCAATAGGTATTTGCTGACAGGAGTCGAGTATTTTACGCGCTGGCCCATGGCCTGGCCCCTTGCCAACCAGTCGGCAGCAGCCATCGTGGACGCCTTTGTTCAGGGATACGTCCTGGACAAAGGTGCTCCGGAACGGCTGCTGACCGACCAGGGTAAAAATTTTTCCAGCAAATTACTTAAACAAGTCTGTGACCTCTTAGGCACAAAGAAAATTCGGACCTCCCCGTATCACCCACAGACTGACGGAATGGTCGAGCGCCTGCATCGCACCATTTCGTCAATGATGGCACAGCAGGTCTCAGATTCACAGACTGATTGGGACCTGCATATTCAGGGGGTCTTGGCGGCATACCGGATGGCACCCCATGCAGCTACGGGATTTTCCCCCTTTTACCTTATGTACGGTCGCGAACCCGACCCGCCTGTTCGCGCCCAGCTGCAGATCCCCGACCCGCAAGGAAAAACTAAATTGGCTGACCACGTCAAATTTAATCTGGCTAAATTAACTGAGGCGCGGGATGCTGCGAGGTTGAACTCGGACCGCCGTCAAAAGGCGAACGAGCGCCTCAGGCTGGGTCGGGCGCATGTAATACAGTGGAAACCGGGGGACAGGGCATGGTTGCACTGTCCCCAAGTGCCCCTGGCTACCTCCCCTAAGCTGGCGCGGCCGTGGCGGGGCCCTGTGGAAGTGGTCGAGGTCTTGCGACCACAGTGCGTGCGCATTCGATGGGGCAAGCGGCGATGGTTCGTGCACCCCTCTCGGTTGAAACCCTTCGTCGCGGTACACAAACCCACTTCACGCATGCGTGGCCAGACGTGTGGGGGGTCGACCGACTCACTAGGTCCGTCTCCACCGCGCTCACCTAATGCCTTGCCGGCCGTGCCACCTCCAGGTGCATCGAGACTGACGGGCTCACGCCCGACCACCCCTTCTGGGGATACCAACAGTCACGCGGCATCAGAGGAGGTCTCACTCCGGGACGGACGATTACCACCTGACGGTCCGCCACCCGGGGTTTCCCCGTGTGAGGGGCCCGCCGCAAGGACACGCGCAAAAATGCGCAGACTGTTGTGAAACCGCAAGATGTGTATATATGTTGTGTTCATTGTGTGTTGTGTGGGGGGGTGTGTTCCCTGCCCATTGAATTTACATACGTTGTGCTCACCTGCTGTTGTATGTATGGTGGCTTCGCTGCAAATTGTACATAGCTTGTTCTTACGGAATTCGTATTTATTCAAGGGGGGGTGCGTCGGGTTGTTTTTTTTTCCTTCTTGCTGTTGCATTTTTTTTGTGTTCTTGTTACCGTTCTTGTTATTGTTGGTAATTAGTGAGGCACACGCGCGGTTACGGTAAAAATTCATTTTTATTGTCATTCTGTATGTTGGCAGCCGGGACGGCTGCGAGCTATGTAGGGGGGAGTGATGTAGGGATGTTAGAGAGAGGGCCGTTATGTATGGCAGTCTATGAGAAAGAAACACAGTGGGCGGGGCTACGTGTGTGCACAGGGAGGTGCCCTCTGCGACGTCCGAGCCAGACACCCTGGGGGGGGCTGGTTTGGCGTTATGATCCCCCGGGGCCCCACCCCTCAGGGAGGGTTGGGTATAAAAGGGGACGTTATATGGGCTCGGGAGTTAGTTATGTTATAGTTAACTAAGAAGACGGAAGACATCTTAGATAGAGCCCTGGACTCCCTCGTTCGATGTCCTTGTCAGGGCCGAACAGGATCGAGCCAGCGGCGTGGTCCCGAAAGCCAGAGCCGGTGCTCTTCTAAGAGCTGGTCTGGGACTCCGGGTACCGGCCCGACTTACCAGTGTCGGGCCAAGTAGCCTCCCCTAGCCCAGTAGTGGAGGACTGTGAGGTAGGCTAGGACTTAGCCAGGAAGTGTATCCTTGAGCTAGTCGGGTGAGGGGGCCGATACCCCCTCCAGTACTGTATGTCACATACGAGTTGTGTTGAATAAATATCCGTGTGCCTCCACCTCGGCGTCAAGTGTCTTCACCGGTACTTCACAGGCGTCAGGGTCGGGACCGAACCCACGAACCTCCTGCATACCAGGCGAGGCAGAAGATGGATTTTCGGTGGTGGATTATAATCCTTGTGTACCCGTCATGGGTTTTGACTTCTCTAATCCGCGCTAACCCGCGTGGTGAAGTATGGTCAAACGCCCACCGTGACCGACAGCGGCTCGTTGGAGCCTTAATCCAGCAGTGGAGTGACAAAAGGGCTATGACGTTTGCCCTCGTGGCGCTGGAGCCGCGCCAACTGAAATCAATTTGTGTTGAACTAACAACGAGCACGTCCTTTGGGTATGACCGCAAACCTACCCGCCCGTCGTTCCCTCCAGCCAGCCCGCCAGCCAGCAAACCTTTAAACAAATTAATATACTGCATTTACTGGCGAAGCGTGGCACTCAGATTGTAAATGTTGTGGCTTGGCTCTCCAACACACCGGTTAGTGCTGTACTAGCGACGAATTGGCCACGTTCTGTTTACGTGACAACCCTTACTAGTCAGCTGTGTCGGGTGGTGGCGGCTTTAACGACACATTCATATTGACGCGATCTAATCCAAAAAAAACTCTTGTGGATAATACACTGTAGTTATGATACATTGAGGCGGCCGGGGGTGCTGGTGGTGAGGAAACGTGGCGCAGTGGTTAGCACAATGCGCTGTAAACCTGGAGACATGGCTGAGTTTGAATCTCGGTCACGGCTACCATCAGTGGCGAGTGATATCTGACGCCGCCCCTCCCTGCACTCCCCTTCGGGCTGTTTGTGGTCAAACAGCCCGGGGTGAGTGTGGAGTTGTCGGGGGTGAGGGCCGTGCCCGCGGTGGGGCAGCTTTCATCCACCAGCGGATTGCCAAGGGGATGCAAATCCTAAATAGAGAGGAGGCGAGGAGAGGAGGATGGGGAGGAAGAGGAGGATGAGGAGGAGGAGGATAAGGAGATGAGGAGGAAGAGAATGAGGTGGATGAGGAGTATGATGATGAGGAAGAGAATGAGGTGGATTAGGAGTATGATGATGAGGAGGATGAGGAGGAGGCCGCACTGGGCTCACTCGGCCAATCCCGGAACGAGATGCCACCACGCGATCAAGGGTGGGCAGGACGGAGGGTGCGATATTTGTTTCGTATTTCGTACTCAGAAAAAATCAGTACCGTGCCCTCATTGTGTCTCTAAGAACATTTTTTTATAGAAAATGTTGAATAGATGACAAGCGAGCTTATAACGTTTTTCTTGATTCATTTATTTTCGTAGAAAGCTCCTTAGGCTTAAGAAAAATAATCTTCTGTAAACGTGATTGATTTTTGCTGTTTGCTCGAATTTACATTTTAAAAAACACATTTAAATCCAAAATCGCATAATTTTTAGACGTTGATTAAAAACGTTTCAACTTTCTCACCCCTTATCAATGGTAATGTGTAATTTTGAGAAATGAGTCTTTGCCTGCCGTTTAAATTTTTTGATAACTTGACTAATTAAATTCGTGCAGCCTCCTCGATGGCGCCCTTGCGCGTGCGAGCGGGATGGAGGGCGGTGGGTGGGCGGGTTCCTCTCGCCAAGAGCATCAACCCGAGCCTCCCTGCAGCTACTGATGCTGCAGCGGATGATGATGATGATGCGGATGATGACGATGATGATGACGACGATGATTGTGAACACGTGACCTGCTTTGTTCGCTCACACCACGTGCTCGAGCCCGCGTCGTTGCCGCCGTCGCTGTCTTAGCAGCGAAGGGGAACAAACGAAGGAAGGGAAATGTAATCGTGACCGTTCCGCCTGAAACGAATTGTGGGTGTCGCGTTAGAGCCAACGTGTTAAACTTAGAGGAGACGCTATGCCACGGTTCTGGTGAGAACTGCAGTGTGGAGCTCACTGATGGTGATAGCTCCTGATGAAGGCTGCACTGTTGAGGGTTCAGGGTGGAGCTCACTGATGAAAACTTCTGATGAAAGCTGCACTGTTGAGGGTTCAGGGTGGAGCTCACTGATGAAGACTTCTGATGAAGGCTGCACTGTTGAGGGTTCAGGGTGGAGCTCACTGATGAAGACTTCTGATGAAGGCTGCACTGTTGAGGGTTCAGAGTGGAGCTCACTGATGAAGACTTCTGATGAAGGCTGCACTGTTGATGGTTCAGGGTGGAGCTCACTGATGGTTAGAGCTCCTAATGAAGGCTGCACTGTTGAGGGTTCAGGGTGGAGCTCACTGATGAAGACTTCTGATGAAGGCTGCACTGTTGATGGTTCAGGGTGGAGCTCACTGATGGTTAGAGCTCCTAATGAAGGCTGCACTGTTGAGGGTTCAGGGTGGAGCTCACTGATGAAGACTTCTGATGAAGGCTGCACTGTTGATGGTTCAGGGTGGAGCTCACTGATGGTTAGAGCTCCTGATGAAGGCTGCACTGTTGAGGGTTCAGCGTGGAGCTCACTGATGGTGATAGCTCCTGATGAAGGCTGCACTGTTGAGGGTTCAGGGTGGAGCTCACTGATGGTTAGAGCTCCTGATGAAGGCTGCACTGTTGTGGATTCAGGGTGGAGCTCACTGATGGTGAGAGCTCCTGATGAAGGCTGCACTGTTGAGGGTTCAGGGTGGAGCTCACTGACAGTGAGAGCTCCTGATGAAGGCTGCAGGGTTCAGGGTGGAGCTCACTGATGGTGAGCTCCTGATGAAGGCTGCACTGTTGAGGGTTCAGGGTGCAGCTCACTGATGAGGACTCCTGATGAAGGCTACACCGTTGATGAAGGCTGCTGGGTGTCGGGTTGACAGCGGGGCTCGATGTCACCGCGGGGTTTAGGGTTGAGTGCGGAACCCCTTCCGGTGGAGGCTGCCGAGTTTGTGGATGAGTTGCGCTGCAGCTCCGCTGGTGGAGGACGTCTCGGTTTGCTGTGCCTCGGGGCTCCGCGCGTTCCTAGCACGGGGAGGGGAGCCGAATGTTCTTTGCAGGGTGTACGGCGGATCGGGGCGATCGCCCCGGGCCCCGCGGTTTGGGCGGCCCTCGCCTCTTAGTCTCGTGAATGTAACAGGCCGTGTTCGATCATGGACGTGTATCGTGAATAAAGCAAACGGGAACGCCACGCGCCTCGACCTGCTTCCTCGACACCAACAGTGTGACTGTAACAAAAAAGACTAAACTACGAAACTCTGTTTGTGTCTTACCAGGTGAGGCCCACTGAGGTTATATGGCCACAAATGATGGGTCAGCGACGCGGCGGCTTCCCGTGCGGACATTGATGGCAGCCAAATCTTCTAAGCGCGCGTTTCTAAACGAGGAGACAAACAATCCACACGAGTACGGGGAGAGAGACACCGCAAACTCCATAAAATAACAGCAGCAGGCGTCAGGGTCTGGATGGAACCCACGTCCTGCTGTATACCGGGCGAGGTAGTTAACATCTCCTAGCCACCGTCTTCACCCAGGGGTTGATTCGTGAAGGACAAACCACCACCGTCTCGTATTCGCGTTGCGTTGCGGCTCATGAAATTTAGATACAATTTTTTTTTTACCGAATTCTACAAAAAATGTAACTTCTTGTTACTAAGTTAGGGGCTTGCGTCACCAACCTCGTGATTAACGATTCGTTGTGTTCTGTTTGGGTCAGAACGCGGTGAGTAAAACGCGTGCCCTAAAGCCCCCTCCTCCACCCGACACGGCCAATCACATCGAGTCGTCTCACGTGAGCAATTGTCAAACGTGCCGATTGAACGCCGCTCTTGGGCCTCCCCTAGGTCTGCTCAGCCTTAAAGTGATTATCTGGTGGCGGTTTGTAAATAGCAGCAGTGGGGAGACAAAGGCGGCCGGGTGCGCTGCTGCCCCCCCCCCATCCAAACCCTTGCTGTACCCCCGTGGCAGCCTTCTAAGGTGCTACTCGCCTCCAGCACTTTCCCCTACAGCCTGATGTGGCTATACGGGGGATCTTTGTCTTTTGAATGTACAGAATGTGTCCGTTTGCGTAAACGAGTACCTGGTGCCGCGTGTAAAACATCCGCACTGGGGAGACAAAGGCGTGGTGCTTGTCCACACACCCCCACATCGTGGCGTCCTGCCGGGCGTGATAGGTGCTCGCTAACAGCACTTGCCCCGACGGTCTGTTAAAGGCTACCTAGGCGTGGGTGGTGGTGGGGGATCTTTGTCTTTGCTTCGGTGCGCACGTGATTCGAATTGAGTCGTCTCAAGCCATTTGACTCCGCGCGACTCAATGAGAGGCACCCCCCCCCCAACTCCCCGCAGCCCAAAATACCCCCCACCATCTCCCACCATCTCCCACCACCTCCCACCCCGCCTCTCCTCCCCTGCGAGCCCAGGGGACAACGCTCTCGTCCCAGGCAAGACCGCTGTAAACTGCTGTAGCAAACGGCGTGTTGGCGAGCGCCTATTAAGGCCGGAAACGAGTGGACGTCAGCTTCATAGAGAGCGCCATTCGCAACAGAATCCCAGTGGTGCAAAAAGGGAAAAATAACCCCATTCACGTTAAAACTAAGAGGAGATCGACCCCTTAAAAACGCAGACGGATACGCAAGAGGAGAATCAAAAATGTGGCTTTCAGACGAGAGCCCTTAAGACCTCCGCGGACAGAGCGTCCCGAACGCAGCGGGACGCGGCGTTCCACAAGCGAGTCGCCTGGCGACACGGCGCACCCTCGCCTCCCACCGAAGGCACGGGCTTGTCGTGGACACACGCAGGCGACTCCACGTATTCAGCCTACTCCTACTCCTCCTCCTACTCCTCCTCCTCGCTTACTGACGTCCCTCGCCGCACATCACGCACGCACGGCAGGTAGTTATTTATTTTAGGCTGAGTCGACCTAAGGGGAGGCACAGACAAGCGCGCGATGAAGGATGCGTGGGATCGAACTCGGGCCGATTCTAAACCACAAAGAAAAATATCCCCCCCGCCCCCGTATAGCCTGTGCAGACTGTCGGGGCAAGTGCTGTCAGCGAGAGTTTACACATCGCCACCAGGCACTCATTTGAGGCTGAGTCGACCTAGGGGAGGCCCAGGACCGATTCGGACAATCGTCACCGGTGGTGTTGGCCGCGAGCGGGGGGATCGAACCCGGGTGGCCGGGCTCGTAGCGTTGGGAATGAACTCTCCCATCGCCCGCGTCTCACGCTCGCTCTCTCTCTCTCTACATCTCTGCAGATGAGCTCAGTCGAATGGTGCGTTCATATTTTAGGGGGAGGCGGTGGGGGAGAGTTGAAGGTGGGGGAATGGGGGAGGGGGGGTAGTTGAGGTGGGGGGGGGGAACCCGACGAGACTTGGCAGGGGAGGAAATGTCATCTGCGCTAAGTAATTGTTGCGGGTGATGTTTACAGATTGGGGCGTCGCACGGAAATCGCCAAGCAGGTGAAGAAGCATCCATAAATTATGGGGACGCGAGGAGGAGCGAGAGGAGTGTGGAGAAGGGGGTGGCATGGATGGAGAGAGAACATCAGAGGGGAAGAGAGTGGAAGGATATGGGGGGCGGTGGGGGAGATAGACCACAGCGAGGCACCGATGAACAGAGGAGGGAGAGTGCGGGCAGGGATGCAGAGAGGAGAAAAAAAGAAAAGGCGAGCGGAGGAGGAGAGATAGTAGCAGAGAGAGAGAGAGCGAGAAATGGGAGCGTGAAAGGAAGACGAAAGGATGCGCATGGGGGAGAGGCGGAGAGAGGGGGGAGAGAGTGTCAGAGCGGGAGCAGAGGAGGGATGCAGATATCGAGGAGAGAGGGAAAGATGTAGTGAGAGATGGTGGAGTGAGAGATGGTGGAGTGAGAAATGGTGGAGTGGGATATGGTGGAGTGAGAGATGGTGGAGTGAGAGATGGTGGAGTGAGAGGTGTAGTGAGAGATGATGGAGTGAGAGATGGTGGAGTGAGAGATGGTGGAGTGGGATATGGTGGAGTGAGAGGTGTAGTGAGAGATGATGGAGTGAGAGATGGTGGAGTGAGAAATGGTGGAGTGGGAGATGGTGGAGTGAGAGATGGTGGAGTGAGAGATGATGGAGTGAGAGATGGTGGAGTGAGAAATGGTGGAGTGGGAGATGGTGGAGTGAGAAATGGTGGAGTGAGAGATGGTGGAGTGACAGATGGTGGAGTGAGAAATGGTGGAGTGAGAGATGGTGGAGTGAGAGATGGTGGAGTGAGAAATGGTGGAGTGAGAGATGGTGGAGTGACAGATGGTGGAGTGAGAAATGGTGGAGTGAGAGATGGTGGAGTGAGAGATGGTGGAGTGAGAGATGGTGGAGTGGGAGATGGAGTGAGAGATGGTGGAGTGAGAGATGGTGGAGTGAGAGATGGTGGAGTGAGAGATGGTGGAGTGAGAGATGGTGGAGTGAGAGATGTAGTGAGAGATGGTGGAGTTGGAGATGGTGGAGTGAGAGATGGTGGAGTGAGAGATGGTGGAGTGAGAGATGGTGGAGTGGGAGATGGTGGAGTGAGAGATGGTGGCGTGAGAGATGGTGGAGTGAGAGATGGTGGAGTGAGAGATGGTGGAGTGGGAGATGGTGGCGTGAGAGATGGTGGAGTGAGAGATGGTGGAGTGAGAGATGGTGGAGTGAGAGATGGTGGAGTGAGAGATGGTGGAGTGAGAGATGGTGGAGTGAGAGATGGTGGAGTGAGAGATGAGTGAGAGATGGAGTGGAAGATGGATGTAGAGTGGGAGGGAGACGCGCAGAGAGACGGAACGAGAGATGGAGAGAGAGGGCTGCTGGATATAGATACTGGACTGAGGAATTCCGTCCTCGATAGCAACACGCGGTCAGCTACTGACACCCCTCATGCGCCCCCATAGCCAAGCACGGCGCAGCTAGCCAGGCACTCCCTGCCACCCACTCTCCTCCATCCCCCCCCCACCCCCCCCGAGTGCACATCATGGTTTTGGGGGAGCGCACAGTGGCGGGGGGGGGCATGTACGGGCCCCATCTGTGGGTGCTGGAATCGGGGACCGACACGAGGCGAGTTGGACCCCAGCGCGGCCTGTGTGTGTCCGCTGTGGCGGGGAGGGGGGGGGGGTGTAGGGAGAGAGAGGGGGTGGTGCTGATCGCCTGCACGCTTCACGCGTTGAGTGCTGTCCCCTCGCACGCGTGGTCGGGTTTTCATCCGGTGAACTCGAGTCTCTCGCCATCATGGGGCTCCAAGTTGGCTAGGAGATGTTAACTACCTCGCCTGGTATGCAGGAGGACGTGGGTTCGATCCCGACCCTGACGCCTGCTGCTGTATATTTGGAGTTTGAGTGTCTCTCTCATCATCATCACCACGGTGGCTAGGAGATGTTAACTACCTCGCCTGGTATGCAGGAGGACGTGGGTTCGATCCCGACCCTGACGCCTGCTGCTGTATATTTGGAGTTTCAGTGTCTCTCTCATCATCATCACCACGGTGGCTAGGAGATGTTAACTACCTCGCCTGGTATGCAGGAGGACGTGGGTTCGATCCCGACCCTGACGCCTGCTGTTGTATATTTTGAGTTTCAATGTCTCTCTCATCATCATCACCACGGTGGCTAGGAGATGTTAACTACCTCGCCTGGTATCCGAGCCTGTGTGTGTCTCTCTCTTCTCGTGGTCGTGTGGATTTTTAGCCGGGTACTCCGGTTTCTCCCTCCGCATTTAGAATCAACTTCACACATTTCGAGTATTTGGCTGCTATACATTTTCCACGTGGTGATTAATCAGTTCTTTGAGCTGTCATTTGTGATAGCCTGGCCGCTTCTGAAAAAAGAACCGCGAAACTCAGTGGGGCTTCACCTAGTAAAAACAAAAAAAAATATTTATAAATAGTTTGGATTTAGTTTCTTTCGAGACGAATGAAAAAAACACACCTTCAACATCTCCCGGCCACGGCGATCATCAGCGGCGAGTGATCTCGGAGGCGGTCAACTCGGTCGACTGAGCCGTAAACGAGTGAGTGGCTGTTGCTGCCGAGTGTCAATATCAGAACCTTGGCCCGCAGCACCGACCGTTGTTGATTGTCGCCCTTAAGTGGTGCTCGCTAATACAAGCACTTGGAACAACGTGTCCGTGCAAGGCTATACGGGGGATACTCTTTGTTCTTTCGGTAAAGCCACGTAGGTAAAAAATGAAATCAAAAGTAATTAAA